AAGAGCGGAGCCATCGCCACACTCCTCCTCCCAGCGAGGGAGACCTGATGGAGTTCCCAGACAACCTCAACCATGACCCCTCCTCTGCCCTCCTCTCTTCCACATGCCAGGCCCTGCTCAATGTCAGGGATGTCCCCAGCTCTGGGATTCCATGGCCCCTAGCATGCATACTCAGGCCCCACTCCATCCTTAGTGCTGCTGGGTAAACCTGGGGGCTGAGGAGGCCAAGTTCCCAAGGTCAATATGGGAAGGGTCGGTCACCTTCTGGGAGAGACCTCAGTCCTCTCAAAGAAAGGCCCCCACAGGGAGTGGTGGTTCAGCACAGGCTCCTCCCAATGCCAGCCCTGACCAGAGGAGAGCCGCAATCAGACTCTTCCCAGCCAGAAAAGATTCAGGAACACACGCTGGCCGGATGGCATGTGGTCCTTTTCCCTTGTCCCTCTGATGGGGCAACTGCCCTCCTGGAAGCTGGATCTTCAAGGCAGTTTCCAGGAGAAGCCTTGAACCTGGGGTCGCTGATCCCTGCTGTGTGCCCTGAACTTCCCTCCCCCATCTCAGCCCCTGCCACCCCCCCACCAGCACGGAAACAACAGGCCCCGCCACTCGATAGAGCAAGTATGACTCGCCACAGGTCCAGGACTTCGGTCCCCCAACACCCACCCCCCAAGTCTAGATATCTGAGAGCTCAATTTAGTGCAACACTTAGATACTGGGGCCTACAGCAAGCCGGCCACTGTGCTAGTCCCTGGGACCAGAGGACCCAGCCCTGGTGACAAAAATTACACAAAAAAGATAAATTACACGGGGCTCTGCTGTGACCAGTGCTTTCAGGGAGGCTCTCAGAGAAGCAGCATCTGACCCAGGCTGGTGCTGATGAGGTCAGAAAGCTACAGCAAGGAGGGGCCATCTGACCCAGGCCCTGAAGAATCGGCATCTATCAGCTGGACTGGCATTCCAGGCAGGCAACTGAGTGTGAACAATGGCCCAGATTCTGATCTGGAGCACAGGCCCAACACAAAGGCATGTATACTGACCCAACCCCATGGGGCCTGGCCCCAAGTACCAGGTACTAAGACCTCCCCAGGGGATGGGTCTCTGGATCCTAATCCAGGGAACACTTCCTCATGGTCAAGCAGGCCGCTAGCCTCGGCAGAGAAGGCTGCCTCTGTCTTTGTCAGCTCCATCTCCCCTCACAGTCACCAACCAGAGCTACATTCATAAGACCCAGGTCTGACATAATGGCTACATCGCTGGACTCCCACGTAGTTGACTGTGGTTCGAGTCTCAGACCTGGTGGCTTAAACTCATGTGTGCCCAAGATCCTGAGAGGAGAATGGAGAAGAAAGGATTGTGGTGTGGCCATCTCCCCTGGGGGGTGATTTCTCACTTTCTGCCTCTCTGCGTCTCCCTGTCTTTCTGGCGAATACAGGTGCTCTATACAAAAATCTCTCAAAAAAATAAAAAAGACAAAGACGACGAAGACCCAGGTCTCAGTTCTGAGCAGGTAAGAGAGGGGCTAGTGTATGCAAAGGCACAGAGACACGACTAGCAAGGTGGGAAAGGAATATGGTACAGCACCATATTACTGGAACTTTGGGCACACACGAGATTGCTAGGGAAGAGGTCAGATCAAAGAACGCTCTATAAGGAGGCCCTGTAGCACAGCAATTGAGCACTGTGTGCAGAGAGCCCAGAACCCACATGGCCGACCATGGTTCAATTCCTGGCTCAGGGGCTTGAAAAAACATGCCAGGCAGGTGTGTGCAGGTTCCCAGGATCCTGACGGGAAAGACGAAAGCAAACTGTAGCATGACCAGGCCCTGCTGGGGGAGGTGCTTTCTCTCTCTGCACCCAAAGGCAGCTCTGGATATTATGCTAGGGAGTCAGCCTTTTCCTATAAGCTGCAGAAAGCTGTCAAAGGGTCATAAACATGGAAGAGACCCAATCACATTTGTGTTTCTAAATAGGATCACAGGAGTTACCGTTTGGAAACTGGGTTGCAGGCAGTGAGGCCTGCAAGTTGCTGGGAAGCTACTATAGTTATCCTGATTGAAACGCATCAACAAGGGTGGTAATGGGTGAGCTGGAGGGCCAGGTCTGCAGGATGTTCAGGCAGTTAGCTATACTAGGTGACATCTTAGATGAGGGAATTGAGGGAGAAGAGGAAGCATAAGGTAATCACAGGATGCTGGCTAAGATGGGTGGCAGAGGAATCGGTTTTGGCCCAGCCACCTCTGCCTGAAGTGGCGCTGTCCACTTGGCAGTTGATAGTCTGATAGATCCAAGTCTGCAGCACTAGGAGGGGCTCCCTGAGAACCCAGATCTGCTACCTAGTTGGGATAAAACTGCGGCCGTGGGAGTACATGCCGCTATCTGAATTCAGCATACAGAGCAAGGGTTGGGCAATAGAAGAGAATGTGAAGCAGTACTTCTGCCCAACCGTCAGAGAGACAGAAAGCAAAAAAGAAAAGGAGTATATGTCAATGTCAACTCCAAGTGCCAGTGCAGCTATAGGTACCACCGGACCTCTATAAACTCAGGATAACTCTGAAGAGCCCTTTCGACATCAACTAAGAAGTTATTCAGGGCTGTTTCCAAAGGAAGTTGGGGAGTGCTCCGATGAGTGTGAAACCCAGACCTATTAGAATGTGTAGAAGTTTTCCTCCCCATTCCCAGACCCTCCGCATGCCCAACCCCTAGTCCTTAATACCCCAGTCCCGTCTCTTCGTCTCTCTCACGGTTAAAAGGGAGGCTTTCCCAAGAAAGGCGATTCTGTACGCCCTCCAGAGGCCCTCTCAGATGGGCGGGGTCGCAAAGGAGCAGTCGGGGGACCCGAACCCCACGCAGGGCGGAGCTAGGCCGAGCAAAGGAAGGGGGCGGAACCTGGAGCACGGGGGGTGTGGGCGAGATCGGATGGAACCAAGAACGGACACTAGAGAGAGGCCGGCTCCGCCAACAAGAGATAACCTTCGTAGACCACGCGGCCCCAGAGACCTTCAGGACCCACCTGCTCCATGTCAGCTACTGCCCGGGATCCTCCTGCCCCAGCCGCAGTCCGGCTCCGGGACCCGGCAGCACCTCAAAGCGGAAGGAGATCTCCCAGCGGCTCCACTTCCGCCGCTGAGCCCGCCCCCAAAGGCCACGGGGGACTTGCGAGGCTGCAGCCCCGCCCCGGCCACACCCCGGCCACGCCCCCAGGTTCTGGGCCCTACAAAGAGAGCCGGAAGTGGGCTGTTATTCGAGCTTCGCTTTGAGGGAGCGGTCCTTCGGGTGGGGGAGCGGGAAGAGTGCTGTGGTGGGAGCCAGGGAAACTTCCTGAAGGGCTAGAGGACAGGTCTCTGGAGGAATCCGAAATTATTCTTAGAGAACTTCAAGGCGCCTACCTGCTTTGCAGCCAGCCATAGCTGGAGCTAGAACTTGTGTGGTCTTTCAGGACTGGCCACTGGGGTTAAGGCCCTGAGGACAGAATTCTGTTTTTTGTTATTCTAAAGTTGTTGCCGGCGGGCTTGGGAGAGTCACGCCTGCAAACATAACAGTTGCTCTGGCCCATTGATAGTGGGATGCTATTTACATCCAGTCCCAGTGTTTTTATGGTGCGTAGTAAACCTTATCTCTTAGAGTAAAGCACAAACGTTCTTTTGCTGATTTCTTAGAGGATCACAGACTTGTGTATTTTTTTAACCAATTACTAATCTTAAGAATTTCAAACTCACGTGTAACCTGCCTCTGCCACCACACGTCCCACCTTTTGGGGCCAGGCCAATGTAAAGGACTCATGCTGATTGACAGCTCTGGGGCTCTCAGAACTTGAGAAAAGGAGCCACTGTATCTCAGCACCCCGAAAAACACGCTTGTCTTTGGGTCTGCTCAGTTTCGTGCTTAGTAATAAACTGTATTGATTTTTTTTAAAAGGAATTATTTTATTTATCCATTCTTTCATTTTAATTAGACTGAATGGATAAATAAAATTAGGGGGCAGGAGGAAGTGAGACAGCAAGCCACCAGGTTCAGGACTTGAACCATGATCGGGAGTATCCAGTGTTTTAACCACCATGCCACCCGCTGGTCCCAAAACTACATTGATTTTTTTTAAAGAATTATTTTATTTCACTTTATTTCTTTTAATTTGACCAGAGAAGGACAAAGTACGAGAGAGAGAGGGAAAGCGAGAAAGCAAGCCTCCAGCTCTGGGACTTGAACAGCAGTCGGCCATGTGGGAATCCAGCACCCTTAACCACCACGCTACTTGTCGGTCCCTAAACTGCATTAATTATTTCTACAGAGTTGGTTATTTCCACCGAGAGCCCTGATCCATGGGTGATCACCGACCTCCCGTATCAGAACATCCTGGTACCTCCCTTCCCTACCCCACCTTGCCCCTTTCTCCTGAAAGAGCAGTCTCAGCACAGTTATTTACAAAGATTTATTACAGCATGGGAGTGGTTCAGGCCTGGAGTCAGGGAAGAAGGGCAAGGGGGCATAGCAGCTGGAGGACGAGAGAACCTGGTTCCCCCACTGTGTGCCCCCCTGCAAGGACATATACTAAACA